GCGTGAAGAACTGCTCGATGCTGGTCAAGTACTGGTAGCCGCTCGGCGGACGGGCGAGTGGACCGCTCCGCTCGCGACGCAGAGCTGCAGCAGCCGCCGCCACTCGCCTCCCGCCCGCCACCGCTCGGTCGGCCAGAGGACAGTCGCAGAGGCGAGGAGGTGGAGGGGGTCGAGGAGGAGGGGCGAGGCACCTGTTCACAGTCAGAGCTGTGAAGAAGAGAGGAGCAGCTGGAGGGAGGAGGGGCGGGCAAGCGCCGGCGGAGAGGGGGGAGGAGGAAGACAGCAGCCCCGCCAGACGGCGACGCAACAAGCCCCCCCCGCTGCCAGAAACAGCCGCTCTCGCGGCGGCCAGCACCTCGCCCAACCCGCCTGCAAGCGGACATGTCGCGGACGCGTCGTGGACGTGTCGCGGTCACGGGCGGCCAGCACCTCGCCGAGCGCCTCGCTGCAGCGCGTCGAGTGTCGCCGCCTCCCAAGGCACCTGTTCACAGCGGGCGGTGTGAAGAAGCCGTCCTCCTCCGGCCTCGGCCGCAGTGACGCCGGCGCCGAAGCTGCGGCCGTGGCGGCGGGGTCGCCGGCGGAGGCGGACGAGGCGGCGGAGCAGGCGGAAGGAGCGGGCGGGGCTGGTTGCGACGCGCCGATGACGGCGCACGAAGTTGCGACGGAGGCGATGAGCAGGGGGGCGGTGTCGCCCAGAGAGGGAGGGGGAGGCAGCTGCAGCAGCCGCCTGGTCTGCTCGGTGTTGATGCCTGTTCACAGCTGGGGGTGTGACCAGCCGCTGTTCACAGCAGCCACCTGGTCTGCTCGGTGCTGATGCCGCGCAGCTTCAAGCAGAACGCCTCGAGCTGCTTCCGCCACGGACTGGCGCCGCTGCCACCACCGCCACCACTGCCACCGGGCGGGTCGGCCTGCGAGTCAGAGAGCCTATGGGAAGTGTCTAGGAAGTGTCTGGGAAGTGTCTAGGAAAGGTCCGCCCGCGGGTCAGAGAGGGCAGACGTCGTGGGGCGACTGCTGCCGCCTCCGCCGCTGCAGCCACCGCCGCTTGCGCCACTGCTGCCGCCGCCACTGCCGCCACTGCCGCCACTTCCGTCGCCACCGCCGCCGTCGCCTCCGTCGCCTCCGTCGCCTCCGTCGCCTCCGTCGCCTCCGTCGCCTCCGTCGCTGTCGCCGCCGTCGCCGCCGCCGTCTTCCTCGCGCCACGCGTCGGACCGCAGCCACTGCAGCAGCCCTCCCGCCTCCGCGTCCGCCGCCTCGGCTGCCTCGTCCGCCGGTCCGGCTTGAGCTGGGTGCGGGTGCGGCGGGGCGGTGGAGAGGTCGAGGGGGAGGAGGACCTGTTCACGGTTGCAGGTATGAAGAGGCGCCATTCACACCGCAGCCGTCAGGGCGGTGGAGGAGGGCGTTTGAGATGCGGCGGCAGACCGGACACGTCCACTCAGCCTCGTCGAGCCGGTGGCCTACGGGACACCTCTCGGACGTGTCGTGGACATGTCCTGGACACGTCCACTCAGCCTCGTCGAGCCGGTGGCCTACGGGACACCTCTCGGACGTGTCGTGGACATGTCCTGGACACGTCCACTCCGCCTCGTCGAGCCGGTGGCCTACGGGACACCTCTCGGACGTGTCGTGGACATGTCCTGCACACGTCCAGCCCTCGTCGAGCCGGCGGCCCTCGAGACGCAGCGACCCGATGCAGCGCGAGAGGCACGCCTCGTGAGCAACGCGGCAGAGGTGAGCCGAGGCGCGGCCGAGGTGCAGCGGAGGCGCGGCCGAGGTGCAGCCGAGGTGCAGCGGAGATGCAGCGGAGCCGAGGTGAGAGCCGGGGTGTAGCCGAGGTGCGGGCGAGGTAAGAGGTGCGGGCGAGGTGCGGGCGTGGTGCGGGCGAGGTAACGAGTTTTAGAGCTAAAGAGGCACTGCCTCGTGCACAGCGTGGCCGCACGAGCGGAGGTGCAGCCCGGCCTAAGGTGCAGCCCGGCCTGTCACTCCGCCAGAGGAACGAGCTCACCGGGCAGTTAGCCGCGGCCGCGCGGAGAGCCCCCGCGCCTCAGAGGCCGGGACCGAGAGCCAGGCGGCCATCTCCGGGTCCCCGGCGGAGGGTGGCGGCGGCATGGAGGGGGAGGCGGCGAGCAGCTTGTCGGTCTCCTGCGGGGGCACATGTGCATGTTACATCTCGGCTGCACCTCGGCTGCACCTCGGCTGCCTCTCGGCTGCGTCTCCTGCTGGCGGTGCATGGCATTCATCACGCTCTAGGAAGTGTCTAGGAAGTGTCTAGGAAGTGTCTCCTGCTGGCGGTGCATGGCATTCATCACGCTCTGGGAAGTGTCTAGGAAGTGTCTAGGAAGTGTCTCCTGCTGGCGGTGCATGACATTCATCACGCTCTAGGAAGTGTCTAGGAAGTGTCTAGGAAGTGTCTCCTGCTGGCGGTGCATGGCATTCATCACGCTCTAGGAAGTGTCTAGGAAGTGTCTAGGAAGTGTCTCCTGCTGGCGGTGCATGGCATTCATCACGCTCTAGGAAGTGTCTAGGAAGTGTCTAGGAAGTGTCTCCTGCTGGCGGTGCATGGCATTCATCACGCTCTGGGAAGTGTCTAGGAAGTGTCTAGGAAGTGTCTCCTGCTGGCGGTGCATGGCATTCATCACGCTCTAGGAAGTGTCTAGGAAGTGTCTAGGAAGTGTCTCCTGCTGGCGGTGCATGGCATTCATCACGCTCTAGGAAGTGTCTAGGAAGTGTCTAGGAAGTGTCTCCTGCTGGCGGTGCATGGCATTCATCACGCTCTAGGAAGTGTCTAGGAAGTGTCTAGGAAGTGTCTCCTGCTGGCGGTGCATGGCATTCATCACGCTCTGCAGCACCGAATCGGCGAGCAGGTCCTGTTCACAGGTGGCGGCTGTGATGAGACGCTGCTCACGCCCACAGCGCCGCGTCGGCGGGTGCCGCCTCGTTCGACACAAACACCTCCGTCTCCCGCGCCTCGGCATCGTCACCCTCCGCCGCCCCGCCCCCCGCCACGTCGCCACCGCCGCCTCCGCCCGCCGCAGCCGCGTTGCCGCCTCCCCCGTCGCCTCCCTCGCCGCCTGCCTCGCCCCCACCTCCCCGGCCCTCGCCGCCGCCGCCCGCCTTCTCCTCGCTCCCTTCGTCGGCGACCGGACAGAGCGGCGGGTCGGACCTGCGAGATCGTCGAGAAGTATAAGGTACCATTCGACGACCACAGCGGGCAGAGGGGCGGGGGGCGGGTCCTCATCGCTGCCTAGCTCGCGCTATCCTTGGTGCAGTGTCAGTGACGCGCCCAGACAACGACCACGGGAAGGTGGAGCGGCATATCTCGGGTAGATCTCGGGTGACTCTCGGCTGCATCTCGCCTTGACGACGACCACGGGAAAGTGGAGCGGCGGGTGGCGCGGGCGGACAGCACGGGCGCTCGCTGCGCCAGAGCGAGCAAGCCGACAGGCTCGCCTGAAGCCAAGTACTCCACTCGTTAGTTCAGAGCGAGCAAGCGGACAGGCTCGCCTGAAAGAAAAGGGCGCGAGCACAGGAAAGCTAGGCGCACCTGGGCTGCACCTGGGCTGCATCGGGGCTACATCTGGGCTGCAATCGGCGGCATCTCGGCTGCCTCTCAGCTGCCTCTCATCTCGCATCTCACCAGCCCGCATCTCGTCGTGGCAGAGAGATTAATTGACTAATTAACTAATTAACTGCATCTCACCAGCCCGCATCTCGTCGTGGCAGAGAGCGCAGCGGTAGTCGCAGCGAGGCGGCGAAGGCGGCGGCGGCGGCACGGCCTTGCTTGGGTGGGCGGTGGGCGGAGGCTGTGTCGCGGAGGCGTCGGGCTGGTCGGAGGAAGAGGCGGCAAGGCTGGCCCTCGGCAGGGCGGGGCCGCCTATGGGACATGTCTCGGACATGTCATCGGAGTGTCGCGGACGTGTCCCGCGGTCCTCGGCAGGGCGGAGAGTGTGTGCCGGGCTCCGGCGTGGCGCGGGGAGGGAGGGCCGGGGGGGGAGGGTGCGCGGTGAGGCCGTCGGAGGCGGGCGAGGAGGAGGCGTCAGCAGCAGCGTCGGATGGCGAACCGCCGCCGGTGGAGTCGCCGAAGGCCGCCTGTGGACATGCCGTGGACGTGTCGCGGACGTGCCCTCGCACGCGGTGCGGAGGCTGAGCCATCCCGAGGGCAGCCTGCTGGCGCGCAAAGCGGCGCAGGATCGCCGCCTGCCTCTCCTTCGCCTGCTGCACATCGCCCGACGCTGAGTACGAACTAAAAGGGGCGGAGGGGTGCCGCCTGCCGCTTCTGTCGGCCTGGCGCTTCCGCTGCAGCAGCTCGGACTTTTGCGGCGAGAGGGCGGGCGGCGGAGCGTCGCCGAGCAGCCCCGGCAGTGCCGCCGCCGCCCTGTGCCGCGCTGCGTCGGAGGCGTCGCACAGCAGCCGCGTGGCGTGCAGCACGGCCGAGCGGAGGGAGGGGTACCTGCTCCACTCATCAGCAATGGAGCAGCCGCGTGGCGTGCAGCACGGTATAGTGGAGGGAGGGGTAGCGGAGGGGTAGTGGAGGGTTTGGTAGTGGAGGGAGGGGTAGTGGAGGGACGGGTAGCGGAGGGAGGGGTAGTGGAGGGAGGGGTAGCGGAGGGAGGGGTAGCGGAGGGAGGGGTAGTGGAGGGAGGGGTAGCGGAAGGAGGGGTAGCGGAGGGAGGGGTAGCGGAGGGAGGGGCAGCGGAGGGAGGGGGCACCTCTCGTCTTGCGCGAGCGAACAGAGCAGCTCTAGCAGAGGTAGCAGCTCGCCGCCGCCTTCCCCCGCCTCCTCCTCCTCCGCCTCATCCTCCTCCTCCGTCGCTCCCTGCACGAAGGCCCGCAGCCAGCGAGGAGCGGAGAGGCAGTTCCGGACAATGTCGTGAGAGGAAGCCATGACCAACCCGACCTATGCACACCGCAAGCCGTGAAGACGCGCTGCTCACAGCTGCGGCCGAAGCACCGCCGCCCCCCCTTCACACCTCAGCCGAGGCGCGCCTCCCGCACTCGCGCACAGCAGAGGGGGTGCGGCCGGCCTCCTCCGCCTCCGCCTCTCCCTCCCCCCTCCACCGCAGCGCGAGCGTAAGCAGCCGCACCGCAGCAGACAGCATCCTCTCCGTCACCCGCCCCGCCTAGTCTCGTGGCGGCTGTCGCGTCAACCAGAGCCGCAACCTCTCCCCGCCCCTCAGCAGGCCCACCGGCGACGCAGCGGCGGCGAGGGTGGCGTAGACGAACCTAAGTAAGGAACGAGGCGGGCTAGCGGCGCTGCTTGAGCGCTTGAGGCGAGGGCGGCATGCGCGAACACCCGTGCAGCGCGGCAGAGCGCGAGGCGGCGGGCAGGCGGCGGAAGGCTGCGCACGGAGGGCGAGGCTCGGGCGGGGGGGTGCCTGTTCACGGCGCGGGGGTGTGAAGACAAAGGGACCGCACACCAGTGCCGCTCGGGGGGGGGGGGGGGGGGGGGGGGAAGGGGGAGGGGAGGGCGGTTGCCGGGCGGCGCGAGGCGTTCTGCGCGCTCGTGCGAGCGCATCGTCTCTTGCTGCGAGTAGAGGGTGTAGAGGAGGTCGTACTCCGCCCACGCCTGAGGAGAGATCCACTAAGTCATCATTAACTGCTGTGAGTAGAGGGTGTAGAGGAGGTCGTACTCCACGCCTGAGTACTGAGCCAATCTCTCCGGCAGGTGGACCGAGGACAGAGTGCAGACCGTGTACCGCCCTCGCCTCTCGCTTGAGCGTGTACCGCCCCTGGCTCGGTCTAGGAAAGGTCTAGGAAAGGTCTAGGAAAGGTCTAGGAAAGGTCTAGGAAAGGTCTAGGAAAGGTCGCCTCTCGCTTGAGCGTGTACCGCCCCTGGCTCATGCCCTGCGGCGCCACGTAGTCTGCGATCGCGTGCAGCGTCGGGAGGAAGGAGGGGTGCCTGTTCACAGCCAGCCCCTCACAGCCAGCGGTGTGAAGAGCAGCGTCGGGAGGGAGGAGGGGTTGCTCGAGCAGCGGTCGCGAGATGCTCGAGCAGATCTCGGAGTGCGTGGCGTGGTGGGTGCAGGCGAGGCGGTGCACGAGCTGCCGCCTCGCCGACGCAGTCAAGTCCTCGCCTAATCAACTCTTGACTAACTCCTAATTAACTCTTAATTAACGCCTCGCCCACGCAGTCAGGTCCTCGCCGATCATCGCCCGCTCCGAGAAGAGGTGCACCTAAGGCATCCATCCATTCAATGCGGTTGGCCAGTCCCCGCCCCAATCATCGCCCGCTCCGAGAGAGTGCGCCATCAGAAGAAGCATGTCCTCGGCCAACACCTCCTCCTCCTCCGCCTCCTCCGCCTCCTCCTCCCCCCCTCCCCCTCCCCCTCCCCCTCCCCCTCCTCGCGGAAGCAACCGGCGCCAGAACGGACCCGCCTCGAACCGGCGGCACGCGGCGGACCTACAGGAAGGTTCCAGGAACGGTCTAGGAACGGTCTAGGAAAGGCCTCGAACCGGCGGACCGCGGCGGACAGAAAGCGGCGCGGCCCAAGCACTACCAGCCCCAGCTGCAGCAGCAGCAAGTCAGGCATCGCAAACGCGTCTGCGAAGACCGGCGAGCGGTACAGCACAGCTGGCTTCGAGGCGGACTGGCCTGTTAGTTGCTAATAACTGTTGATTAATAAGGCGAGCGGTACAGCACAGCTGGCTTCGGAGGTTGGCTGGCCGTTGCGCCGCCACCGTCCGGCCCGCGTCTGAGCCAGCAGCGCCATCAGCCGCAGCGGCTGGTCGATGAGGTGGCACACGAAGCGCGCATCGAGGCCGTTAATTAAGAGCCTAATTAACTAATTAATTTCTAGTTAACGAACCGCGCGTCGAGGCGCGGCGGCTGCGCGACGCCGCTCTGCCCGCCAGCCGCGCTCTCGCCGCTCTCGCCGCTCTCGCCGCTCTCGCCGCTCTCGCCGCCTCCTCCGGGCGGGGAACCGACGGGCGGGGAGCCGAGGGGCTGGGAGCCGAGGGGCGGGGAGCCGAGCATCTGCCGCTCGCTGAAGCCGAGCGCGACGCCGCAGTGGGACAGGAGGGCGGCGAGGAGGCGGTGCAGCGGCAAGTGGTACGAGACGAGCTCGCTCGCGCCTGTTCACACCTCTCCACCGCGTGCAGCTGTGAACAGGAGAGGCGGGACGAGAGCAGCTCGCTCGCGCCGGTCGCCGCCGCCGCCGCCGCCGCCTTCGCGTCTCTGCGCATCCACTGCTGGAGCGCCGCCGCCGTGCAATCGCGCGCCCGGCAGTACACTCGCTCCTGCTCCGCCTGGCCAAACACTTATTGGTTATGGCTGCTAGTAAGGGCAGTCGGCAGTGCACTCGCTCCTGCTCCGCCTGGCCAAACACTTATTGGTTATGGCTGCTAGTAAGGGCTCGGCAGTACACTCGCTCCTGCTCCGCCTGGCCAAACACTTATTGGTTATGGCTGCTAGTAAGGGCTCGGCAGTACACTCGCTCCTGCTCCGCCTGGCCAAACACTTATTGGTTATGGCTGCTAGTAAGGGCTCGGCAGTGCACTCGCTCCTGCTCCGCCTGGCCAAACACTTATTGGTTATGGCTGCTAGTAAGGGCAGTGGCTGGTGGCAGCAGAAGCGCTCCTGCTCCGCCTCGTTGCTGCCGCCGCCGCCACGCCCCCCGCCACTCCCTCCGCCGCTGTCGGCGTCGGCGTCGGCGTCGGCGTCAGCTTCGGCGGCGAGCGAGACGCCGTGGACGACCGAAGGGAAGATGTTTGCGATCTCGGTGCCGAGTGCCCACGCGTCTGCCCACGCGTGGCCGTCGTGCTCGATGTGCGCGCCTGGTCTGGACTCACTTTCTCAGCTCGCCATCGCGTTCACTAGTTGGCCGCCGTGCTCGATGTGCGCGCCGACAGCGCGGCGAGAGGCGTGCATGCCTAATCAGCAACGCGTTGACTAACGAGCGGCAACTGCCTCGATACCTCCGAGAGGCGAGCACGCCCTGGAGGAGGGAGAGGGCGTGCAGCAGCGTCGCCTACAGGAAGGGTCCATGAGAGGTCCAGGACAGGTCCGAGAGGGAGGGAGAGGGCGTGCAGCAGCGTCGCCTACAGGAAGGGTCCATGAGAGGTCCAGGACAGGTCCGAGAGGGAGGGAGAGGGCGTGCAGCAGCGTCGCCAGCTGGCCAGGCGCCGCGTGCAGAGAGCGCGAGATGGCGGGGAGGTGGAGCGCGTACTTGACGTCGTAGCATAGCTGCGAGTGAAGGTGCTGGCTCACCTGCGGAGTGCAGGCCGGGCGAGATGAGGCGAGACTAGCAGAGACTAGCAGAGAGTCGACGCTCTCCGGGAGAGAAGAGCCGGGAGAGAAGAGTTGTCCGGGAGAGAAGAGCTGAGAGAAAAGGGACGGGAGGAGGGCAAAGTGCGGTGGCTCACAACGGCCGATCGGGCGTCGACCACAGCAAGCTCCTCCTCCACCTCCACCTCCGGCGTTGAGGCCGTGCCCCTTGCCTCGCCAGCCATGCCCCCTCCCCCTCCATCCCCTCCCCCGCCCTCTCCCCCGCCTTCGCCTCCGCCCCCGCCTTCCCCCGCGGCCCCGTGGGGAGGTGCGGGAGGGGGGTGGAGGGCGGCATGGCGGAAGCGGCTCGGCTCGGACTCCCCCTGCAGCACCGCCGCCTCGCGCGGCACTGCGGCGTGGCGGAGCAAATCGAGCAGCGTCTGGAGCAGCATCGGGAGCAGCCCGTGCCTAGTCCATTCACGAACCAGTCAACAGCAAATCGAGCAGCGTCTGGAGCAGCATCGGGAGCAGCCCGTGCCTAGTCCATTCACGAACCAGTCAACAGCAAATCGAGCAGCGTCTGGAGCAGCATCGGGAGCAGCCCGTGCCTAGTCCATTCACGAACCAGTCAACAGCAAATCGAGCAGCGTCTGGAGCAGCATCGGGAGCAGCCCGTGCCTAGTCCATTCACGAATCAGTCAACAGCAACTCGAGCAGCGTCTGGAGCAGCGTCTGGAGCAGCCCGTGCCGGATCATCGCCGGCACCAGATTGCCTTTGAACTGGACGGTGAACTTGCCGAAGGTGGAGGAAGCCAGGTCGCGGGCGGGCGAGGGCGAGGTGACCTGCGAGGGAATTGCGATTCATTGCTTGCGGTCGATTTGAGAGGTCGCGGGCGGGCGAAGGCGAAGAGACCGCGTCGAGGACGCACGACGGGTAGTGGCGGATGACGTGGCAGAGGAGCGCCTAGCAAGACACTTCGTAGACAGTTCCCAGACACTTCCTAGACGACGGGTAGTGGCGGATGACGTGGCAGAGGAGCGCCTAGCAAGACACTTCGTAGACAGTTCCCAGACACTTCCTAGACGACGGGTAGTGGCGGATGACGTGGCAGAGGAGCGCCTCCTTGAAGGGCACCTCTCGCATTAGCTCGAAGTACCTGTAGGCGCATCTCGCGGACATGTCCTGGACATGTCCTTGAAGGGCACCTCCCGCGCGCCAGCTCGAAGCACAGGTTGTGCAGCTCCTCCCTCGCACCGCCGCCCATGTGGCTCTCCGCCCGCAGCAGCGTGTCCAGCAGAGTGGCGCCGCCATCGCCGCTGCTGCCACCGCCGCCGCCTCCTCCGCTGCTGCCACCGCCGCCTCCGCCACTGCCACCGCCATCGCAGCCTCCTCCCACCGCCATCGCCGCTGCCCCTACCCCCACCGGCCCGCCGCTGGACGCGTCCAGGACACGTCCGCCGCCCTGCCCGACGGGCTCGCCCGCCTCGCCCATCTCGACGTCTGCCGGCGGCGGCGCGGAGGCGGGCGAGGAGAGGATGCCCCCTCCCAGCCTACGTCCACAGCGCGGCTGAGTGGGCGATGGGTTCGCGCTGCTCACAGCAGCTGAAGCGGGAGAGGAAGATCTCATATCACGCTTGTTCAACCTCGGCTACTCCCGGCCACTCTCGTCTCCTCGGAGCAGCGCCGCCGAGCAGACGGCCTCGACTACTCTCGGCCAGTCTCGACGAGATCTCGGCTACAGGAGCACCGCCGCAGAGACGCGGAGCACGCGCAGAGCGAGGTCAGCCTGGGGCGAGGACGAGGGCCCAGGGTGACAGGGCGAGGGGGGAGGGGGGAGCAGGCGCAAGAGCGAGGCTGGCCAGCGCGCGGCGGCAACTTGCTGCTCCGCCGACCCTCCGCCGCGCTCCTCTGGCCCTCCGCCTCCCACGGTGAAGACTCCGAGCAGCCACCGCATCGCAGCGTCTGCCGCCGCCATCTCCGCAGAGCCGGGCAGCGCGCGGTCTGCTGCGCGGTCGGAGGAGGCGCCGCAGCCGCCGCAGCCGCCGCCCGCCTGGCCGTGTCGTGTGCAGAAGCCGGAGGGCTTCCACGCCTCGACGTCTCCGCAGTCGCAGCAGCCTCCGCCCGACGAGAACATCCAAAAGTCGTGGCCCGTGTGGTCCGAGTTGAGGAAGCAGTCGTGGCAGATGGCGCAGGACGGGTCCATGCCGCAGGTTCGGCAGTGGTAGACGATGTCGCCCGTCTTCCAAACCAGTCCACACACCGAGGACGGAGCCGCAGTCTTTGGCGGCGCCGGTCGGCCGCAGATGAGCTGCGAGCACCGCTCGAGCGCCCTGTCGATCGAGAGCTCCTCGAGAGAGAGGCGGGCGAGCGCGACAGCCTCGTCCGGCGCGAGCTCCGATCGGGCGCTCAGCGCCCGCTCGAAGCGTGCGTCGGATGAGTCGTCTGTCATGGACAGCGGCCGGCGGAAGCGCAGTGAGCGGGCCGCCGGGAGCGGTGCAGTCGTGGAAAGAATTTTACAACCGCGAGCTCCCTCGCCCGGTGTGTTCTCGAGGTTCTCGAGGTGGATATCCTTTGGCCGCGTTGGGTAGCGAGGATTGGTGTAACCCGAGCCACGGAGGCGTGCGTGTTTTCTGGCGTGTGTGGTGTGTGTGTGTGTGTGCGAACTCGTCCCCCCCGGCAGGGCTATGCAACCGTGACCAGTGTGTGCTGTCTACGCCTGATCCAGGCGTGAAATCTGCCGATGCGTGATCTGTGTGTGGGCCGCTCTGTGAGGGGTCCAGGCATTGTCCGACGGGTAGGGGGTCTGTGCCCGGGCGGTGTCCGGTGCGGAGTCTCTCTCTGATCGCTTAGGCGGCTCCCGTGGTGTACCTGTGTTAGTGCCAGTGCGCGCCAGTCCCGTGCCCAGTGTTGTGCGAGGGAGTTTTGTTGTAAGACTCTCTCTGATCGTGTATCGCGCGCCTTGCGGCGTGGTTAATTTGAAAAAAAGAAACGCTTCCGCGCGACAGACGTGCCCAGCGCTGACGCGACGGCGAGGCGATCGCGACCCTACGCGGGTGTCAACAAGATCGCAATCGAATATTCGGTGCGGCACACAGCCACCGGGCAATCGATCGATGTACGATGAACGAAGGGGGCCAGAGAATATCCATCCAACCTCGACACCTCGAGAGTCACGGCTGGGGCGGTCTGACCCAACGTCTCTGCAGAGAGTCGCGTGCGTTGAAGACCAGTCGATTGAGCTCGCATGATCGAAGAGCTTCTGTTCAGAGAGAGAGGTGTCGCGATTTTGATTGGAGATTTGTGAACAAGCGCGGTACCGCGGATAAAAAGGGTCAAAAAAGAGAGCGGTCAAACTCACACACGGACGCCTATTTTCTTCCCTCTGGAGTGCCGCGGAGAGGAGGGGCGCGATCCTAGCTGTCGATGAGCACAATATTGCAATACCCGAGCCAAACTTCTCGAGCCAAACGTGCGTGATAGCCTACCATTGACGCGGCACTTGCAGACGTACCGGTAGAACAATGTCTTGCCCAGATCGTTCATTGCACTAGCCTTGCCTGGGCGCTTACTCCTCCCACGGCTGGTAGCCAAAGAACTTCTGTTCCACAGCCGTGATATCATTCAGAGACTGCAGAGTTTGCCCCGTCAGGTAGCGGCCCGTTTTGGAACATTGTTTTGGATGTCTGCGGAGATTCTGTCTTAGCACACACAGTGAGTCATTCGGGGTCATTCGATGGCCAGAGTGCGATTGTGTGTGTGCGGGAGTTGGTTTGTCGGGAGGGAGGGGCAGGCTGCTCACCCACGTGCACCGGGCCAGTGCTTGCACTTTGAATGCCGTGCGGGGGGCTCCTGCCCGTGTCCGGGTGTGGAGATGCGAGGGTCACCCCCCTTTTGCCCCACCACTTTGTGTGTGTGGAGAAATTTACCTTACCCCTTACCTTACCTCATAGATTCACAATGTGCAGGGCCGAGGGGCGCCGTGGTGCCCGGGGGTCCCGGGGTCGCGTAGGTTGTGTCTGTGGACACGCACAGACTGTTTCGACAGTCACACGACAAAGCGAGGACCAAACGCCTCTGCCTACATCAGCTGGCTGCGGCGCGGCCTCGCGCCCTGCACGCGGAGCTTGCTCGGCGCCAGAACCACGAGCTTGTCCGACCTACAAGAAGGTTCCAAGAAGGTTCCACCAGAAAGCTCCCTGTAGCGACAGCACGAGCGGTGCGCGACCCGTCGAAGCGAACCACCGCCGCAGCGTCCTCCTCCCGCACCCGCGCCACCACGCCCGCCCGCCCGCTCAGCGCGCCAGACACGACCGTCACCCGGTCGCCTGCCGCGGGAGGCCGCTCCTATAATTAATAGTTAATAACTGATAATTAATGATTAACAATTAATAGTCGCCTGCCGCGGGAGGCCTCTCCTATAACCAAGCCTCGGGCATGCCATGGACGCGTTCCGACGCGTCGCCAAACCGACGCGATTCTTCCTCCTCCCCCGCTCGCGCCTCCGCCTCCTCCACCTCCTCCCGGTAGTCGGCAGCGATCACGAGGGCGCCGGCTGGCAAATCGCGAGTCGCGACGCACCTAGTCGATAGCGGTGGACAGGAGTCGATGAGGAGCGCATCGCCATCAATGAGCTGGTTGGGCCGGGTGGCAAACGGCGTGTGGCGACGCGCCGCAGAGCGCCGTCGCTGCCGGACGAGTCCGGGGGACGGCCCAGCCGCGCGTTCACTGCCCCAGCTGCGGCGGCGGCGGCGGCGTCTTCGCGCGGCAGCACCTGCTGGACGCGCCGTGGACGCGTCGTTGACGTGTCCACGGGACGTGTCGAGGAGGCGTCCTCTGGGAGAGAGGCGCCGCGAGGTTGGCGAGAGGGCAGAGGGCGACGCCTCCTCCGCCTCTTCCTCCCCACCGCCGCTCCCCCGACGCGCTGTCGAGAGAGGGGGGAGGGCCGAACTGCGCCTCCATCGCCAGCAGCAGAGCCTGCAAAGCACCCGTCGAGGAGTCAGTCGACGGGTTGGAGGCGCCTTCCCGCAGCGAGCGGGCCTGGACGGCCGTGCAGCCGCAATCCTCCTCGCTGGTCGCCTGACAGGGGCCGTGTCGTGGACATGTCCTGCACACGTCGCCGGCACGGGCCTCGCCTCTCCTCCTCCTCGCCTGCGCCACGCCGCTGCGCTGCGTGGTCCGCATCCACGCGCTGCGCGCCACCGGCTCTACCAGCTGCGCGATGAGTGCGGCGCCTGAGGGCAGCATTCGACTCGCTAAGAGCAGTCACCGCGCCCTTCCCGCAGGGCGGCGAGGGAGGCGCCGGCGGTGACAGCCTCCGCCCGCCCCTCCTCGATCAGGCACTCCTGAGGGGCGACGTGTCGTGGACGTGTCGTGGACGTGTCGTGGACGTGTCGTGGACGTGTCGTGGACGTGTCGTGGACGTGTCGTGGACGTGTCGTGGACGTGCGCCCTTGCGGTGCAACTACCGGGCTCTCGACAAGGTACAGCCGAGATGCAGAGATACGGCAGAGAGACCGCCGAGCTACCGCCGGGCTACCGCCGAGCTACAGCGCGCGACTGCCCAGCTCTCCTCCTCGGCAGGCCACTGCAGCGAAGCGACGAGCGGGCTCCAGCGCCGCCCGCCCGCCTACAGATGATATCGTCGGCTGCCTCTCGGCTGCCCCTCGGCTGCCCCTCGGCTGCATCTCTCGGCTGCATCTCTCGGCTGCATCTCTCGGCTGCATCTCTCGGCTGCATCTCGGCTGCATCTCGGCTGCATCTCGGCTGCATCTCCCGCCTTCTCGCCGAGCTCGTCCTTGACCTCCCACTGGGGAAGCACCTGTAATTAGTAGTGAATCATTGGTAGTCCAAAGTGAATAACTAATAGACCTCCCACCGGGGAGTCACCTGCTCACCGCCGCCACCCCACAGCTGAAGAGGCGCCCTTCACAGCTCGCCCTCCTCGCCGCAGGAGGAGGCCTTCCCGCCGCCGAGCACGCCGCCATCCTGCCGCCGCAGCCAGGGACGTGTCAGGGACGTGTTCAACGGGGTAATGCCACATCATGTGAGAGACACGCCCACCGCACGCCTGCCGCCGCAGCCAGGGACGTGTCAGGGACGTGTCAGGGTCATGTCAAGGTGTGTGAGGGACACGCCCACAGCACGCCTGCCGCCGCAGCCTCCCTCGCACGGCGCCGCGCTGCACGCGCTCCGCCGCGAGCACTGCGGCGAGAGCGAACGTCTCGAAGCCCGTCCGGTCCGCCGCCGACGCGCCACCCCGCTGCCGCTGCTGCTGCTCGATGCGAGACAGGTCCCGGCCGATCGTCCTGCCGTAGCAACCAGCCGTCAGTCACTCATTCACAGCCGTAGCGAGGGAGAGGTCACGGCCGACGGGTCCTGTCGCGAAGTGCCACGTCCGCAGTGAGAAGCATGCTCGCCGGCACCTCGAATAACGTGCTCCCCTCCGCGACGGCGCGGGAAGTGACGAGCGCGAAGCGTTCCGCGTCGCCGGCGGGAACCACGTTGACCGCGTCGCAGCGAGCGCCTCCCTCCTCGAGCCAGAGCTCGTACCGGCGGGCGGCGTCGGCCTCGGCGAGCCACTCTGGAGGCGGGGGCTGCTTGACGGGCTGCTTCACGCTCGTGACGCGCGAGAGCTCCGATTGGTAGTCGAAGCCGAGCGCGCGGAGACGCTCCGCCCTAGCCGCCTCCGCGTCGGCCATCGATGGTGGCGAGCAGCGGCGCGGAGGAGAGCAGCGGCGTGCAGTGAGAGTGGGCGGAGGGAGAGTGAGGGCGGCGAAGCGAAGGAGGCCGACGAGGAGAGGCATACCGGAATGGGCACCAGAAAAAAATAAACAGGGGCCTTGCGCGCAGGGGTCGGCGTGGAGGGCGATGAACGCGCCGCGCGGGGCGCCGCCCCGCGCGCCAACGCCTCAAACAAAAGTGGCGCAGAGCGAGGCGGCGAGAACCGAGCGAGCACGTGAGCCCCGTGGCTCCAACCGGGCCCTTCCTTTTTTGAGCAGGTGTGCCGCCGCGCGAGCGACGCTCCGAGATCGCCCGAGATAGCGCGGCGCGGCCCCGAGATCGCCCGAGATCGCGCGAGATCGCCCGAGATCGCGCGGCGCGGCCCGAGGCGAGGTGGATGGGTTGGGAGCGAGGGCAGAGCGAGGGGGCGGAAGTGGCCAGTGCGGTAGATCGGTCAGTCGGGGCGCGTGAGCCGGACTTGGGGGCCGGACGGAGCACTTGGACGGCTTTCATTTCTCTCTGCTTCCCGTGCCCAGTCGTGCGAGGGAGGTTTGCTGTATAAATTATTTTCTCACTGCTGGAGGTACGGAACGGACGAGGGCAGCGCGCCGACGTGGAGGATCCTCAGCTGCGTTTAGCTCTCCATTCACACAGATTGCCCTCGAAAGTGAGCGGTGCACACAAGTGTTCTCTTTTCTTGTGTTACCGCACTGTGCACACGGCTTCTCAGTCAACACAAGAGGGACTCTAAGGTAAGGTAAGGTAAATTTCTCCACACAAGAGGACTCCCCCAGTGAGAGGCAGGCTAGAGCGTCTTCTTAATCGGCGACACTCTTCTCGTCTCCCCACCCAGCCACATGTCTCCCCTGCACTGCACACACTGTAGAGTACGCGCACCTCCCTCCAACTCACACCTGAATCACTTCTGACAGGGGCCCCTGCTCCGACGTCGGCATCCGATCGCACTCTAGAGGACGCATGGCCGCCGCGAGCCGCCGCGCACTAGACACTTTCCGCAGTGGGCCCTTCCCACCCTCTCCCACCACGCGCACTGCACACGCACTGCACAGCACCACAAGTCTATTGCACACATGTTCATCTTTTAACCACCGGCCTCGCCTCTCCATCCGATCGCACTCAGAGGATAGGAGGAGACCGGCAGAGGTGGTGGCGCCCGGAGCGGCCACCGGCAGGCGCCGATGGGCGAGGCCTGGCGCAGCGAGAGGCACCCGGGCGAGGCCTCTCTGCGGGGCGGCGCTGCTCCTAGGAGCGCGACGCCGGCCGGGTAGGCACCTGAGAAGCGATACGCCGGGGGTCAGTCGCCCACGACCGAGGCTACAGGAGCGCGATCGCCGGCCGGCCGGGCGCCTCGCTGCCCAGCGAGTCGCGCAGCTCGTGGGCGGGGCGAGGGGCTCCGGGCGAGCGGCCCGAGCCGGCCGAGAGGCGGGCGGAGGAGCGGGCCGAGGAGGCGTCCGAGTCGCGCCGGCGCAGCAGCTCCTGCTCGCGCACCTCCGCGAGACTCAGCCCGGCGGCGCACGACTTCATCGCGCGGATCGGCGAGCTGTGCGCGAGGCTGGCGCCGCTCCACTTGCGGAAGGAGCCCTTGGCGAGGTCCCCCGCCGCCGAGGTGACGAGGGAGCGCGCCGGCGCCTGCGCGGCGCTGCTGATCGAGGAGGCCTCGCCCTTGGAGCCGCGCACGCCGCCCTGCCGCCACGAGCCGTAGGCGGCGCGCCACTCCACCGAGCGGCGAGCGAGGCGGACGGGGTCGAGCAGCTGCGGGTGGCGGCAGACGGGGCACGAGGCGAGCCCCGCGTTGGAGCAGCGCACCGCGCAGTCGTGGCAGAGCCAGTGGGAGCACGCCAGCCCGACGTGCCGCTTGATCGGGTCGAGGCACACGGGGCACGTCTTCAGCGCCGGCCGGGGGATGTCGGGCAGCGTCTGCGACGCCTTGCCGGGCAGGTAGTCGTCGCACCAGCCGGTGGCCGCGGCGTGGCGCGAGAGGAGGAGGGTCGGGTCGACGCCGAGCTCGCCGAGCACCTCGAGCGTGTGCTCGCCTGCTCGCAGCCGGCAGGTGTGAAGGGACGCTGCCCACAAGTCGCCGCCGCACCGCGAGCGCGCGGTCTCGCCGTAGCGCGGCGCGTCCTCGAGCGGTACGGCGAGGCCGCGCCCGCCGGGCGTCCGGACGGAGCACGGCGCAAACATGACGAGCGGCGAGCCGAGCGGGTGCGACCCGTGGCGCAGGAACTGAAAGGTGGAGCCGCCGAGGTCGACGGTGCAGTCCTCCGCCGCCAGGATGTTGCTCTCGCGGAGCACGTCGAAGGACGCGAGCGGCACCGCGCTCACACCGACCGCGCCGAGCCGCTCGGCCCACCACGACGCGGAGGGGCCCGCGCGCAGCGCGCCGCCAACCGCGGCCTCGAGCGCCGCGTCGCTCACGCCGCCGACGCCGCGCTCGAGTGCGGGCCGCAGCGCCGCGTGCAGCCGCCCGTCGGCGAGCGAGAGGTGGCGCAGCACCTGAGGGGTAGGGATGGGGGTGGGGCTCGGGGCTCAGGGCTCAGGGCTCAGGGCTAGGGCTAGGAGGCGAGCGAGAGGTGGCGCGGCACCGTCTTGAGCTCGGCCTCGCCCATCCTCAAAGGCGGGAGGAGGGAGGCGACGAGAAGCAGCCACGACCCGTCGGCCGTGGAGTAGCAGTGGAGCAGCGAGTGCTCTCCACGGCATTCGGGGCCTCGGTTGAGCGGCGTGTCCACCGAGCGGTCCCCCTCCGCCGCGAGGGCGGCCGGCGGGCCGCAGCAGAACGGGAACTGCACCATCTGGCCGACCGACGCGAGCGAGGCGCGCGCGATGAGGAGGGAGCGGGGCGGCGCCGGCGGCAGCTCGCCCGTCGCGCGCCGCTCTCGCAAGAGCAGCGTCGCGGCCGTCGCGAGCGCGCCGGCGACGCCCGCCGCGACGTCGATCGTGCCGACGTGCGCGTGCTCCTGCGGGGCGGGCCGTGGACATGTCACGGACGCGGTCGTGCGCGTTGCGGGTGCCGACGGCGTGCGCGTCGCTCCTCCACGCGGCCGAGCCCGCCGCCGAAGCGCTCCATGATGCCGAGGGCCGCCTGCAGGTTGTCGTCGTACGAGATGTGGTCCGCGCGCTCGCCCTTGCCCTCGTTCGGGCCGCCGTACGCGTCGAAGCGCGAGAGGACGACGTTCGGGTTCATCCGGTGGAGCTCGGCAGGCGTGATGCCGAGCCGCTCCAGCGCGTCCGAGGTGCCGTTGTACACGACGACGTCCACGCGCGCCACGAGGGCCTACTCACGGCCAAGCACTGTGCAGCGACGCCGCTGGAGAGAGCGCCGGAGCGGTCGCGCGCGGCGAGGGCCTCAAAGGCGGCCCGCCCCGCGGCCTCGGCGGGCGACACGTCGAGCAGCACGGAGCGCTTGCCGGCGTTGGCCGCCAGGCCGTACAGGACGGTGATCTCCGGCGAGTAGGTTGGGCGCGGCGAGTCCACCTTGGTCACCTTTGCGCCGAAACGCGCGAGCATCGTGCCGATGGTTGGGCCAGCAATCACCTGGAGGACATGTCCGGGACATGTCCGGGACATGTCCGAGCATCGTGCCGATGGTCGGGCCGGCAATCACGTTGCAGAGGTCGAGCACTTCGACACCCTCCATCCAGCCCCCGCCGGACCGGCCGCCCTCCCACGCTGCCGCCGGCGACGGAGGCGGGGGCGGCGCGGCGGGCGCCGCCTCGGCGCGGGTCGCCCACCCGGCGGCCGGACGCACCGCCGCCGGCCGCCCCGCCCCGCCCGCCCCTCCGCCGAAGTGCGGCGCCGCGTCCGCCGACGACGGCCGGCCCTCTGGCGACCTGCAAGGGCTGGGCAGCGACGGCGAGGGCAGCGGCGGCGGCAGCTCCTGCTGCACCACCCACGTCATCGCCGCGGGCGAGACGGCGCCGCTCTCGTCTTCGCGGACGAGGCCGGCGGCGCGCGCGTGCGGGCAGGTGAGCCACTCTGCGGTGGTGCGGTGCGCCGAGCCGGGCACGCCAGCCGCGCCAAAGGCGGCCTAGGGGAGGACCCGGCCGAGGCTCAGGGAAGGGCCGCCCAGCGCTCGACGCCCGCGGCGCCAGCGGGCGGCCTCCCACTCGTAGGCGGTGCGAGTGAGGAAGGCGCGCCGCATCAGCTTGCGCAGCTTCGGCGCCCAGTCGTCCCCGATCTGGCCGGCACCGAACCCGTGCCGCGGCGCGTTCGCGCCCACCGCCGACGCGGCGTACGTGGCGGCGAGCGGGACGCCGAGGGCGGCGACCTGCTCCTCGATCCCGAGCACGGCGATCGCGCGCCTCTGGTGGCGGAGGTGGCAGGGCGCGACGAGGTAGAAGGGGCGCGCGTCCGCGGTGGTGTAGTGCGAGAAGAAGGGGTCCGTCAGCTCGAGCGTCTCAAAGTAGTCGAGCGGCTCGCCGGCCCGCTGCTTGTCGAGGGCGCGCTGCCTGCGCGAGCGGTACTCCTCGGGCACCTCGTGCTGCAGCGAGTTGTGCACCAGCGCGTCGCACAGCGCGGAGGCGAGGGGCACCTGGGAGGGAGGGCGGCAGCCGCGAGGTGAGACGGAGGTGTGGCCGAGGTGCAGCCGGGATCTCGGCCAGCCTCATCTCGAGCGGCACCTCCAGAGAGAGCCGCGGCGCCGCGCCGGGCGGCAGAGTCGTGCGCTTGCGCAGAGCAGAAACGACCCCGAGGGCGGCAAAGATGGAGGCGTACGACGATGCGAGAGGCAGAGGCGAGTACGAGGCGAGCTTGCCAGCGAGCTGGCGGTTGATGCCCATGTCTCGGAAGACGCCGGCCTCTGCGAGGATGGACGCCTCCCACGCCTCAATCTTGCTCCGCTCCGCGTCGCCCGTCGCAAAGCCGGGCAGGTGAGCAAGCACGGCGCGAGGGTTGACCTCATGTACCCGCTCGGCCGTCAGGCGGAGCCGGCGGCACACCGCTGGAGCGAAGCCGACGACGACAGCGTCGGCCGCAACGAAGAGCTCGTCGAGCGCCTCCTGCCCGGCCGGCGACTTGAGGTCGAGGGTCACGACGTCCTTGCCACTCCTCAGTGCCCTCGTCGTCTCTGGCCGCCACGCCAGCTCAGCGCGCTGCCCCCGAGCGGACTCTGGTCGCACCACGGCCGTGACTGACGCGCCGAGGTCGAGGAGGTGCCGCGCGGTGAGCGGGCAGGCGAGGAAGGAGCCGATCTCGACGACGCGGAGGCCGTCGAGTGGGGCAGTGCGGCTGTCGCCGTCGGACGAGGATGAGCTGAAGGTCGAGGCCATCGCCCTTGGGCCGCCTTGGTTGCCTTCCATTTGGCGGTCCGTCAACCAACCGGGAACGTCCAAAGCTGATTGCTCGGAATTTCACGTAGTTTCCACAAATTTTTAAGGCGGCGGGAACGATGGCGGCACTGGCGGCCGCACCGCCTGGTGTGGACCCCCAGGGGCGGCTCCTCGACCCAGCGGTCGCTCCAGCGGCGGGGGCGGAGGCGGTGGTGGTGAGGGCGGGCCTGATGGCGGTGCCGGTCGCCACAACTCCTGGGGTGGGGCCCCAGGGGATGCCCCCTGCCCCTGCGGCCGTTCCAGCCGTGGTTCCACGCGCCGGCCGTCCACCCCGCTCGTGGGGAGGGGCCTAGCTCTCGTCTCCCCTCGGGAGGGGGGGGGGGCAGGGCCCGGATTCGCCGACGGCCCCGCTTCTCCCCCCTCCCGCTCCACATCAGGACGCGGCGAATTGTTTTCCCTGTTTCTTTGGCGGGAGGCACCAACAACCGCGCCGCGCTCCAACCAACGTTATGCCGCCCACGCCCAGAGTCGACGCCACCGACTACCACTCTGGCCAGCACAGCGGCCGCATGGTGCGCGTGACGGGCAAGCTGCTCAGCGTTGAGGGCGACCGCGCCCAGCTCGAGATGTCGGGCGGCGGCGCGCCGGCGGCGGTGGTTTTCAACGACGCGAGCCTCGCGGCAGAGTTCGACGCGAGCCTCGTCGGGAGCGGGCACTTCGAGGTCATTGGCACGCTGCAGGCGCCGCCCTCCCGCCGCCTCTCCGCGCACCGCCCTCCGCCGCCACGCCGCGCGCGCGAGCGGACGACAGCCCGCCCGCGCCTGACGCCGCAGCTGCCCCTCGCCCCGCTCTCGCCCTCCCGCCGTCGCGCAGCCGCAACCTCCCACCCCTTCGCTCGCGTCGCACTGCGCGCCTCGTCCTCCCCGCCGCCCCGTTCGCCCCCGGCCACCCCTCGCTCCCCTCTCTCACGCCGCCGTCTCCCTCTGCCAGGGGGACGCAACGCTGCAGGCGGCGCAAGTCGTCAACCTGGGCACAAACTTCGGCGCGCCGCAGCCTCCCCCCCCCCCCCCCCCTCTCCCTCCTCCCCCGTCCTCTCCCACCCTCCCTCCCCTTCCCCACCCTCCCTCCCGCTGCCACACTGCCGTCAGCAGCCTCACAAGCGGAGCACCTCCCCACCCCCCCAACCCCCCACCCCTCGCAGACATGGGCATGTACGGAGAGATGCTCTCCGTCTCGAAGCGATTCCCACACATGTTCGCCTAGGGCAGGTCGAGAGCCAGATGCTCCCGCTTCCCTGTTGTCGTGCACCCCGCTGCTCGGGGGAGGGGGGCGGCCCCTCCTGTCCACGGCGCCGTGAGTCTGCCCTGTGCTATAGTCTAGCTGCGGCCCGCCTCGTCCACCCTGCGGCGGGCCCCTCGCCCCGTGACTCTGTCTCTCTCTGCCGCGTACTGGTCTCCACGCGCGTTTGGCGCGGTCTGGGTGGGCGCTCTGGGGGATCTGAAAAAAACATGTGGCAGTAGCTCGGTGCGTGCACCGGACTACGCATCCTCTTACATGTACATGTACATGTTTAGAACACACGGGAGAACCACGACCCACAAAAGTAACGGCCAACCGGACGTGCGATCTCGCATGAGCTCGGTCGCAATCTCTTCCGCCGCCGCGAGAGCTGCAGCGCGACTGACAGCGCTGGGCCTGCAGCGACAGCCACGACCGCGTCGACCAGCTCGCCTCGTCCTCGTGCTGTCGCTTCGAGAGCTTGTTGCGCACCTTGTCCTTCATCTGGTAGAACAGCCGCTTGACCGCGTTGCACCACACCCGCCGAAGGTTTCGAACAGGTACATCTGCACGTCGGTGTCCGAGCGCGAGAGGGCGTGCGCGTAGTCCGCCTTCTTGTACGCCACATAGCCGCCGCCGTCGCTCGGCCTGAAGTCGCCATCCCCGACAGCGCCGCGCTGCTCGAGGCCGAAGACGTCCGCGCTCGTGCCGGGCTCGGTGTTGCCGAGGCCGACGAAAGCGCCTCGCTGGCCGACGTCCTCCGGGTTGGAGGAGAGCGAGTCCTTGAACTTGACGTCGCCGACGAGGCGCGAGCGCGAGCGGCCGGCGCCCGCCACCGAGACGTCGGGCCGGTAGTCGTTAGAGTAGCCGAGGTGGTCCCGCGGCTCCACTGTTGTTCTGTTGTTACTGTTAACACTAGCAACACTGTTCCGTTTGACAACCCTAATGTGCATGCACATGTGACAATCGTCAGCACTTGGTCTTGGAGAGTGTCACATCCGTGTTTTTTTGGTCTTGCGGTACACATCTCTCCGCTCACCACATCACGCGCTCCACCGTCCGGCCATGGATGGTTCGATGGAGCTCGCGCGAGCTCCATCGAACCATCCAACTCCGGTCACCGGGTCTGAACGCGCTCCCAGCCTCTCCCTCAGGAGGTACCAAACCGCGCGAATTCTGCACGCCTCGCTGCGCCGCTGGCTTGACTGAATGAGGCAGCAGCAGGCTGCTGCTGCTGCTGCTGCAGCAGCCTGCTGCGGTTCCAATACGCAGGTTAATGACTAGCAGCACTGCCGGTGGCATACGAGCCGCCACAGCCGGTGTGCGGCCGTGCTCTGCCACCTGCCCGCGGCGTACGCACAATGTGCGCTCGCATTGGATGCCCTGCTGATGGACTTGCGTCGCCGAGCTGCGCAAATAGCAATGCCGCAGGCGGGGGCCGCGGCGTAGATTGCGAGCACACGCGTTGGAACGACCACTGCCTTCGCTACGCGTGCGGCTGCCACTCTCGCGGCTTGCAGCGCGTCACGCTCGCGCATGCTCTCCAAGAGCCATGGCGGGCGCGTGTGTGGGATGTAGCCTGTGTTTGGCCGGTTCCGACCCGTTCACTATCTAAACCATGCCTGGGCCACAAGCACACGGGGAGCGGCTCAGGGGCCCAGTAAGCCGCGGAATCGCCAAACGGCACGACTGGGGGCCTTGGTGCACTTTTTGAAATTTTGAACGTGAATGCCGTGGGGCTCCTGTCGTCAGACGTGGAGACGCGAGGGTTGCCCCCCCTTGCCCACCTCGTGTGCGTGGAGAAGTTTACCTTACCTTACCTTACCTTACGGCTTTTTTTGTAGACAGGAGGAGGCTGCGCTGAGGGCGCTGTGCACGCACGGGCGGGAGGGGTTTCTCCTGCGGAGTCGTGCGTGCGCGGGGGCATGCAACATGCGCGAGTTTATACTTTGCGGCGTCTGCTCACGAGGGGAAGCCGAGGATGCGGAGGGAGCCCTCGTCGCGGCCCATCTTGTCCTTGTCGTCGCCCGCAAAGGCGAGCAGCATCCTCTTCGGGTGGAAGGCGATCGAGTTGGACGGAGCCTTGACGGGCACCGCGAGCGCCTTGCGGGCGCGGCGCGGGCGTGTCAGCGACGTGCCGCGTGAGACGCCGTTGGCGGGGCAGGGCGGCAGCGCCTGCTTGCCGGTCGCGACGTGCGCCACGTCGATGAGCGGGTCCTCGGACCCTGTCCACACCTCGCGCTGTGAAGAGAGGTCGCCTTCACGGCGTGCGAAGCTGCTGCGGCGGGGCGTGCGGTGCCCGCGGCGATGTAGCTGGAGTCGTGCGAGAAGGAGAGGGTGCGGACGGGCCACTCGAGCCTGCTCACAGGCGCAGAGGGGTGGAGAGGCGCTGGCCGCCACGCGTGGTGCGTACGGGCCCTGCTCTCGCCTCGCAAGGGTTAGGGTGAGGGTTAGGGTAAGGGCTAGGGTTGAGGTTAGGGTTAGGGTTAGTGCGGGCACTGCTCGCGCCTCGCAAAGGTGGCGACGCACGCGAGCTCCTGTTCACAGCCGCAGCGTGTGAAGAGCCGTGAAGCCACGCCGCCTACGCCACGCCTGCGTCTGCGGCGCGGCCGCGCCTTGACGTGCCAGGAAGTGTCTAGGAAGTGTCTAGGAAGTGTCTCTGCCGCGCCTTGACGTCCCAGAGCGAGACGAGCGCGTCCGCGCCGCCCACCGCGAACCGCTCCCCCGACGGCGAGAACTCGAGGCAGTAGCAGTTTGCAGTGTGGCCTGACGCACGAGACGAGAGGCGGCGTCACACCCCCTGCTGCTGGCAGGAAGCGGCAGCCGGTAAACGCGGCGCCGGTGAGGGTGGCGGCGGGCGCGGGCGCGGCGGAGCCGTCGCCAGGCTTTGGCGGCGCCTGTTCACAGCGGGTGCGGTGTGAAGAGACACAGAGCGGCGGAGCCGTCGCCAGGCTTTGGGCGGCGCCGGCGGCGGCTTGAGTAGGTCAACAAAGGAGAAGACGTCGACATTGCCAGCCCCGGTGGTGAGGAAGAAGAGGCGCCCGCTCGGGTCCCACGCCATCTCGTTCACCTGCGGCTCCGAGACGGCTCAGTCAGGGCGCCGCTCCCCCTTCCCTTCCCCGGCGGCTCTCGACTCCGCCTCGTGCGGAAACTTCATCGTGCGCAGCGCCTTGCACTTGCGCGTCTCGATGATCGAGATGTTGTCCTCCTTGTCGCCCACCGCGAGGTGCTGCCCGTCCGGCGACCACCGGATGTTGATGTTCTCGCCCCGCGTCTCGATTGCGTGCACGCACTTTGAGGTGCGCGCGTCCCATATCCGGACGGTCTTGTCGCCCGACGCGGTGCCGAGGAGGTGCTCGTTCTTCGGGTCCCAGCGCAGCTGGTCCACCGAGTCCGAGTGCCCCTTGAGCTCCACGTCCGACGCGCGGCCGCCCTCGTCGATCGTCCACACTCGCACGCTCGTGTCGACAGAGCCAGAGGCGAGCTTTGTGCCGCTGCAGTTCCAGGCGACGGTGTGCACCTTCTTGCGATGCGACGCGTACTCGCGCACCGACCGCGGGTGCGGCCACAGCGATGAGCTCCCGCCGTTGGCGCCGCCGCTGGGCACCACCCTGTCCGCCGCGGAGGCTCTCATGCTAACGAAAAAGAAATCACCGCCGCCTCGAGGTTCTCCAGGTGGTCCGTAGATGACGATCGAGGTTCTCCAGGTGGTCTGGCGAGACGTGAGGCGCATGCGCCCAGGAGGGGAGGGGGCATGTGTAACGACACTGCTAGAGATGCCTTTCGGGGCCCAGAGACAAAACTTCTGATGCCATGCGTGACCTAGTAGTGTCCCCAGCTATGCCTATGGGCGTGTCCACGTTGGAGCCAGGTGTGGTGTGGGCGCGAGAATAGCTCCGCCGTTCATGGAGGCAACCGATGCGAGTCGACTGGTGTGTGTCGTCGTGGTTTCGTATCAAGGTAAGGTAAGGTAAGGTAAGGTAAACTTCTCCACACACACGAGGTGGTGGGGCAAGGGGAGGCAACCCTCGCGTCTCCACGTCTAACGACAGGAGCCCCACGGCATTCAAAGTGCAAGGCCCGGTGCGCGTGGGTGAGCGGTGTGTGTGTGTGTGTGTGTGTGTGTGTGTGTGTGTGTGTGTGTGTGTGTGTGTGTGTGTGTGTGTGTGTGTGTGTGTATGTGTCACGTCACTGCATCCTCTGCCGGTTCCTCCCGTCGCCTCTTCTTTGTTTGAATGTTTTTCAATCCATCCTTCACGAAGCCCTCCCATGTAGCTAGCGTTCTTGGGTCTTGGCGAATGTCTCGAAGTGGCCAGCAGGCGCTGTCTGCTCGCGGCCTGTGCGGGCCGCTCGTCCTCCTCGCCCTTCTTTTGTCCTCCCGTCCCTCCCCTCCACCATGGCCTCCTCGGCACTTCTTTCTCCATCCGCCTCGCCCTGCCTTTTCGTATCGTGCCGTTCGCCCTCCATTCGGTGACCTCCATGGCTGTCCGCTTCCTTTTGGGTGGCGCTCTCGATACCGTTGCGTCAACCTCGACGTCGCTGTCGCCCTCCCCGTCCCCGTCCCCGCCGTCGCCCGTGCCTCGGTTCGCGTCATCGGTAGCGTCTCCGTTGTTCCCTCGTGCTCCGCCGTCGCCCTCTCCGCTCGGGCCGTTAGCGATTTCGCCCCTCCTGCGTGTCGCCCCTCCGTCTCCTCCCCTGCCGTCGTCGTCATCGTCGCTGTCGCGAAAGCCCTCCGGTCCCTCGATTCCCTCGTCTATCCCCTCCGCTGCGTCGTCCCAGTTTATATCCTCATCCTCTGTGCGCGTTGTCGTTCCCTCCCCCTCTCCATCGTTGTCGCCTCCGTCGACTGTGGCGCTGCCTCTTCCCTCGCCTCCGTCCTCCTCGTCTCGCCTGCCATCGTCCCGTGTCTCCTCGTCCTCGCCATCGCCTTGGCCGTTGTCTACCTGTTCATCGTGTCCCCTGCCGCTTCTGGCATCGCCGTTGGCTTCCTCTCTCCCCCTTTCCTCCCTGCCCCTCTCGCTGTCTGGTGTTAATGGACCCCCTTCCTCTCCCTCGCCACCGTCACCGTCACCATCCCCGTCGCTCCCGCCCTCCATCCCCGCCGCCCTTTGTCTCACACTCGTCTCTGCCATGTCCGCCGTCGCCGCCGTGAATACTCACTCACTCACACAGGTGGTAAGAAAGAAAGAAAGAAAACAGACAACCCAAGGGTGGTCCCTCCCTTGGGTTGTCCGTTTTATTTCTTTCTTTTTTCTCCAGGTGGATATCCTTTGGCGTTGGGTAGCGAGGATTGGTGTGACGCGATCCACGCAGGCGTGTTTTCTGACGGCCGACCGAGTTTGAGTGAGTCTCTCTCAAAAAAAACTCACGGCCGACCGTCAGTGCACGGAGTTGCCCCGTCTCGCCGACTGCCCCGGCTAGTTCCAGAGTTCGTCGGGAGTTTCCCTTCGCCGCCCTGGACCTAGCGCGGGTGGGTTGGGGGGGGCGTGTATCGCGCGCCTTGCGGGGGGGGCGCGGAAAAGAGGAACCTCTTAGCGCCATCGCCTCGGTGCTGCATGCAGCGCCGGGCGACGACGGCTTACCGCCTCCCGGTCCCCCTGCTCGGCACACCTCCGCTGCTTAATGTTTGGCGACTCGAACCCGTGAAGCTTCCCCGTGCGCGGGTTACCCCGCACACGGGTCAGCCTGCCAGCCACGTATCCACGCAAGCGTGGTCCGCACGCATGGCATACAGGCGTTCGCCAGACAGCGCAGAGGCTAGGCGACCGGGGAAGGACTAGCTCAAGGGCAACACAGCGTCACCAGCCGTTGGCGCGCAGAACGAGTCTGCGGCCCCCGGTTGGGACGAGTGCGCTACGCGGACGAAAACCGCTCAATGTGGCCGGCAGCTCGCGCTGCCGGCGGGGTTGGTTGGGGAGAACCGGCACGGGGAAAGCCGGCCTCCCCGGAGGGGTCGCCCCCTGGAGGGGGCCCAAAGGGCCCCCCGGGGGGGCGGGGACCCCCGCCCCGAGGGGCGGGGGCATGTTCGTCGCCTAGCGCGATTGAGTCAACCCTTGTTGCCAAGTCGGCGAGCGTGTTGTGTTCTTGTGTATCGAGAGAGAGACCATAGCAGATGCGAGAGCGGCGTCGTCCGGGGAGAGTGGTGGTGGGGGAGGGTCAACATCGAGGGCAATTACGCATCGTGCTCCCCGATCGTCTCCGATCTCCCTCGCCTGCTCGCTCGGCACGTACTCGGACCATATCGCTCGAACTCGGGGGGCACGGCGAGGGTTAGCGACGGGTGCGGCTTCAGGGTCGGTGGCGGGCGAGGGGAGGCTGACGGGGTTGGCTGGGGCTGTAGCCGTTGGTGTGCAGGTCCACAGTCGGCGTCGCTATCATCTTCCCTCTCCGAGTCCTGGCCGCCGCCTGTTGCCCCGTGTCCACTGGTACTGCTGTCGCTTCCCTCCGCGTTGCTTTCCTCGTCGGGAGTGTTCGCGTCGGGATGGTGCCGTCCGCCCACTCGGCAGGGCTCGCTGCAAGGAAGGCGGTGCAAGAAGCCGATCCCCGTAGTCCGCCCCGCTCCTCCCCATCGCGCATCGGGCCGCATGAGCGGCCGCGCCTCGCAGGTTCGTCTCGCGCCTGGGTCAGGCGCACGGGGCATCCGCCATCCCCCGGGTCGCTCGACCAGCGATCCGAAGAGTTGCACCCTGGCACGGTGCGTGCACCCTGGCACGGTGCGTGCACCCTGGCACGGTGCGTGCACCCTGGCACGGTGCGTGCACCCTGGCACGGTGCGTGCACCCTGGCACGGTGCGTGCACCCTGTGCACCCTGGCACGGTGCGTGCACCCTGGCACGGTGCGTGCACCCTGGCACGGTGCGTGCACCCTGGCACGGTGCGTGCACCCTGGCACGGTGCGTGCACCCTGGCACGGTGCGTGCACCCTGGCACGGTGCGTGCACCCTGGCACGGTGCGTGCACCCTGGCACGGTGCGTGCACCCTGGCACGGTGCGTGCACCCTGGCACGGTGCGTGCACCCTGGCACGGTGCGTGCACCCTGGCACGGTGCGTGCACCCTGGCACGGTGCGTGCACCCTGGCACGGTGCGTGCACCCTGGCACGGTGCGTGCACCCTGGCACGGTGCGTGCACCCTGGCACGGTGCGTGCACCCTGGCACGGTGCGTGCACCCTGGCACGGTGCGTGCACCCTGGCACGGTGCGTGCACCCTGGCACGGTGCGTGCACCCTGGCACGGTGCGTGCACCCTGGCACGGTGCGTGCACCCTGGCACGGTGCGTGCACCCTGGCACGGTGCGTGCACCCTGGCACGGTGCGTGCACCCTGCGCACGGTGCGTGCACCCTGCCACGGTGTCTACATCCTGGATCGGGCAGCCGGACGGCTGCCAGGTGACTGTGCACGGGCCGGGGTTGGTCTCGCCGCCGACGAGAGAGCCGTGGCAGCTGCTGGGCTCATCCGTTCCTGGTGGCAGCGCTTAGTGACGCTCCGTCCGGTGGTGGCTGCCAGGTGATTGCGCGCGGGCCCTAGGAGGCAGGGAACCAGGGACGTTTAGTGTGCATGATTGCGGTTGTGCTTCGGCTGGGGGTGCATGTTTGTGGAGAGAAACACTCGGTAGCGCCGCTCTCGCACACGCTTACTCGACCCGCACCGCCGGCGGCTGCTCCTAGCCACCGAGGGGGACAGGGAGACAGTGTCCTAGGGTGTGTCCCCCGTGCCACATGGGCCGTCGCCCCCCCCCCCCCCCCCCCTCCGCGCGTGCAGACGTCTAGGCACACGCAAATGGTCACGCCGCCTCGCGCGTCCTCTCACCGTCCCGGCTCTTTCACCGCTCCGGCGCCCACGCCTCGATCTTCTTGGGCAGCAGCTGGTTCGACAGGTCCCATCCGTGGCCTAGGCAGCCTCTTTCGCCCCTACCCCAGGTAAACACGGCGCCGTCGGCGGTGGTAGCGAGGTTGTGGCCGCTTGCCACCGACACAGCGACGACGCGCAGGCCAGCAAAGGCCTCGATCTTCTTGGGCAGCGGCTGGGTCTGCTCGTCGCCGTGGCCCAGCTGGCCGCTCCCTCCAAAGCCGCAGCTCCAGACGGCGCCGTCGGCGGTGAGGGCGAGGCTGTGGTACGATCCAGCCGACACAGCAACGACATGCTGGCCAGCCAAGGCCTCGACCTTCTTGGGCAGCGGCTGGCGCTGCAGGTCGCCGTGGCCCAGCTCGCCCCAGCCTCCATTGCCCCAGCTCCAGACGGCGCCGTCAGCGGTGAGCGCGAGGCTGTGCTCGGATCCAGCCGACACAGCGACGACGCGCCGGCCAGCAAAGGCCTCGATCTTCTTGGGCAGCAGCTGCTGCTGCCAGTCGCCGTGGCCCAGCTTGCCTAAGCCTCCACTGCCCCAGCTCCAGACGGCGCCGTCGGCGGTGAGGGCGAGGCTGTGGTTGCATCCAGCCGACACGGCGATGACACGCTGGTCAGCAAAGGCCTCGACCTTCTTCGGCTGCGAATGGTCCTGCTCGTCGCCGTGGCACAACTGGCCGTAGCCTCCACTGCCCCAGCTCCAGACAGAGCCGTCGGCGGTGATGGCGAAGTTGTGGTAAACTGCAGCCGAGACTGCGACGACGCGCTGACCAGCAAAGGCCTCGACC